GGAAGCTGTTCTGTGAGAAATCTGCCACCAGAGACTGCCCTTGTAGCGAGACTGTGTTTGCAGGTGCTTAGGTTGACAGCTTCCGCTAAGACCCCAGCCACGGCCAGTGTCCACTGCCAGCCCTGTGGACATGCCACAGTGAATGTTTAGCCCAGCTGAACTTCAGATGTTGGCAGTAGCAGCTGACATCTGACTGCAGCTGCACGAGGGACCCGAAGTAAAACCAACCTAGTTACCCAACCAAGCCTTTCCTAGCTTAATGACCCATGAAATCCTGAGCAAAAGAACAAAAATTCCTGAGAAACCAGAAGAGTAACCAGAATATGAAACTGAGGGATTTGATCCAACCTCCTCGTAACAATTTGAGAAACTGAGGCCCAACAGAGGAAGAGAGCTAATCAGAATTCCTTCAACTAAGCAAAGGAAAACTGGGGCCAAAGCCTGGGTCTCCTGATTCCCAGTTCAGTGCACCCTCTATGTCTTCACAGTACTAACAGTGGTAGCTCTGACCTCCCACCCTGTCCTCCCTCCACTAATCCCATGCGTTCAGCAAGAATGAAATATTTGAGTACCAAGGATCATGCTAAAGGCTGGGAATAGACAAAGGGTCAGATCAGGCAGCAGTCCCTGCCTTGTGGAGGCGGTCACAATGTGACTTTGAGTGTCCCGTCCCCAGGCACATCCGTGGGTGACGGGCACACTGGCTTAGGTGGGAAGGAGCCTGGGAGGTGGGGACACAACAGTATCTGTCATTCAGCAACAAACCATCACCAAGATTACCCCGTGCCGTGAACAGTGCCAGCCGTGGAATCCAAAGCCGTCATGAAGGTCTGTCCTTGAGCTCCCTTGAAAAGAGCTGGCTGCATTCTGGGTCTCTCTCTTCTGCGCAGCACTGACTCAAGCAGGGAGGGATCCCTGGATTTCATGAGCACCCAAAAGGGACCCAGGTTTGGTCTGCCTCTCCAGATGCTTCCCCGGAACACTGCTGGAAGGGATTGGGCCCCAGGACTAATTAACGTCTCTAACGGTTGAACTACTTTTGCTGGAATTTGGCCTGGGTGAGAGGAATCTGGGCTTCTGTGCTTTTCTAGATGGAGTTACGTTGAGTGCCAAGGAATCTTGCCAGCTGGGCCCTAAGCTAACATATGTGTAGGGGGATGGGGAGTCTCTCGACCTAGGCTGGGCCTCTGGCCCAGCAGGCTTGAACAAGGAGGCCTTTGGGAGGTCCACTTGGCTGGCCCTGATCCTGTAAGTCCATGAACACATGTGGTCATGTGCGCGTGCGTGCACATGCACACCTACTCTTCTCTGTCCGTGGCCCAAACCCAGCAGTGGTTCCATCTTCCAGGGTCACTGACGCTTAGGCTTGGACTCCCTGAACTGGAACGTACCTGTGAGCTGGCACCCGGGTCTCCTCTGGCCCTATAACTTCAAAGCCATGGTTTATGAGCCCCCAAGTCCTGGTCTGGCCTCAGCTTGTGGTCTGAACCCTTCCAGTCCCTTTCCTTTAAGAGCTGGGTTGGCAGAGGCTATCTTCCAATTCCTCAGAGCTTCAAGTACAGTTTCAGTGGGATTTCCACAGCAATCCAACTTGCCTTCAGCCCTCGCCAGAGCTGTTCTGGCTGACCTCCACAAGGCCTGGATCTCTCTGGGCTGTCCTCTAAGGCCAGGTTCTCCCACAGCTCTCTTGGGAAGGTGCTCACATTTGATTTGGAGCCTGGGAGTCTCTGCAGGCTGCCTGGAGGTGGGTGGAGGATAAAATGAGCTGATGAACGAACAGGTTCCCGGGCTTCTCTCACCCACCCTTCTCTTCTCCTTCCATGTGGGGAAAGACCTCCCCCTCCCTCCCTGCCCAGGGATGATGCTTGATAAAGTAATTCTATTAATTAGGTTGGGAAAAAGAAGGGCATGCTGGGAACGGATGCTGACCCCTTGTCCCTAGCAGAGCTGGAATACCGAAAGAGGAAGTGTGAATAGCCATGGATACACGCTTGCCGTGGCAGCCATCGGGCCCACTCCTTGGCCTGGAGCTCTTCAAAACAAGTGAGGCCCAAAGAAGGAAGGTAGAGAGCACACTGGATGTCTTCTGTCACTCCCAAGAGGCTGAGGCCACACAAAACTCCCAATGGAAAAAAATGAAGTGTAAATGGCTTTGCTTTTAGGCTCTCAGCGTCTCACTAGCAAGATCAGCCTCAGCGTGCAGGGAAGAAAGGTGGAGAGAGGAGGCTGGAGGAAAGAAATTTGGGGAATTATGATTTTTCAACTGTGGCACCTTGTGGTCTTTTTTTTTGGATACCAGGAATCGAACTCATGACCTTGTGCTTGCCAGGCAGGCCCTGTGCTGCTGAGCCATATCCCTGGCCCCTCTGTGGTCTTGTTTAAGCCCGTTTTCAAGTCCTTGGAGAAATGGAGAAGGACGACAGAGACCTGGGTGGGAGCGTGAGGTAGGACTCTGGAATCCACAGGATGCCCAGAGGAGCAGTTGCTCTGCCTGTCCCACAATGCCACAACCAGCTGGACCTCCTACTCACTGTCACAGTCAGGCCCTGTGAGCAGGGCCAGAGCCAGGCTGCTCTGTACCACCAGGGGGCAGCACACTCCTACCCTCAGTAGGTTGGCATTCAGGCAGGCAGGGGCTCTCCTCTCCTCCCAGGATATGTGTTTTTGGGGAATAGCATGATTTCACACACACAGAGGTGATGGGGACAAACCCTGTGATGCCTGCTGTAGTACACTAACTCTCCCAGGAAAGCTCAGAAAGGCCCAGAAAACAGGTTAATTCAGGGTTCTGCAATAAAACTGTCCAGCAAGTGGTGAGGCCTTCTCTGGAGGCCTCCGGCCTAAGGCTGAGCTCCCCTGGCCGGGAGCTGGACAGCGGCCTCCTCCTAGAGCGCCTTTCCCTGGCTGCCTGTTTCCTCAGCTTCCCCTGGGGTTCCCTGTGCCCACCCAGCTTTCCCATCTCGCTGCCTTCCTCGTGGCCTCCTTTTTCCCTGGCACCGTTCTCCCTCCACCCTCTCTCCAGGCGCCCATCACCAGCCTCCAGCACTGCAAATGGATGCACTGACTAGGCAGGGGTTTCCTGGGGAGGACGGGCTGATTTATTCGTGGATACGTCTGGTCCTTGGAACAGCTCCTGGCAGATAGTAGGTGTTCAATAAGTATTTATTGAATGAACAAATGAATCAGGTGTGTGAGGCTGTAACAGGTTTTCTTTCTCCTGACCCATTCCACCTCCATCAATTTGTCCCTCTTCTCAGAATGATAGAGATCAGTCAGCCTGGAAAGCAGGGGAGAGACTGCAAAGGGTTTGCAAGGACACAGTTCAGAGAGGATCTTAAGGTTGTTAATACGGTCGGTTTACTATCCCGACGGTGGTTCATCTTTCCACTCCAGTTCTGGTGGGTTGTGGGTCTTCTCCTCCCTGTCACATTGCAATATTTCTTTCTGTTGCAGCAAAATCACAGTCATTTAAAATCTGCAATGTAGGCACCAGGTCCAAGGACTGGGGAGACTGGGAACAAAGGGGGCGCCAGCAAATGTGTGCTTCAGAATACAGCCCAGGGTGCTACCTGCATATTAGTACAGATCATCAAAGATCACTGTCATTTTGGTCCTCTGAACTCACTTGCTTGTGAAAATCTTTTCATTTGCACTGGGCTTTTGGCCTTTCCAGAGAGCACACGCAAGTTCTTATTTTGCTCACTATTGCTAGTAGTGCCCCATCTGGAAACTGCTTAGCGCACAAGTGTGCAGGGCAGGTGTGTCAATTGCTTTGCATTTCTGCCGTCAAAACCTTGTATCACCCTGCATGAAGGCTGCCTGGAGCTGTAAAGAGAGAGAGACAGACAGACAGAGAAGGAAAGGTGAAAGGGGGAAAGGAAAAATGAATTAATTAAAGATATGGAAGAGGTTCTGAGCTTAAACACAAACAAATGAATCTGGAAACCGCTCTTGGGATCAGGTCAGCAAAGATTGCGTGCTGCCTAATGTTTTGAATAGGACAGCTTCTCAATCACTTAGCAAACAGGTTCTCAGAAGCAGGCACCGTGGGACCTACCAAGGTGAAAAAGCACAGCCTGAAAGCAGCTCAGGGTCAGGGAGGAGAGAGCAGACAGAACCACTAGCAAAGCCAAACTGCAAGCAGAGAGCAACCATAGGACTGGGACTTGGCACTTCCTATGCGCGCTCTGGGGCAATTGTAAGCCAGACTTCAAACCAATAATCATTTGGGGCAAGTACCCCTCACCCATAACACATTGCTCCACGCCCAACGCCAGGGCTACGGCTTGCCCCCACCCAGACCCACCAAGAGGAGCCACTGCTCTGCCCTGGGCCATGAGGGTTCCAAGATGGGGGCTGAGGTAACTGTGACAGAAGCCGCATCAAGGTCACAGGCCTCCAGGGAGTAGGATGGGGACGCGGTGGTCAAGAGGCCCCAACACGATGTCTGGGGCAGGAGATCCTCCTCGAGGCCCCCTCCCACTCCCTTTCATCGCGACCTCAGCTCGCCGCAGTGAGATGGCAATGAGGCTACCGGCTGAAAGGCTCAGCAAGAAGAGGCGGGCGAGGTTAGAGGTCAGGGGTCGAGAGCTGGGGTGTCACCCGGGCTGCAATGGGAGGAGCTGCGAGCTGGGGGAGGAGGGAGTGGGCCGGGACTGATGCTGGCGGAGGCGCGCAGGGGCGGCGCGCGGGTTACGCGCCTCGGTTGGCTCTGCTGTGCGGAGGAAGGCTGAGCTCGCCTGTCCGGGTCCTGCAGCGTTCGGGGTCGTCTCCACGCCACGCCCCGCCCATCCTGCCCCGCAGAAGGCGCGCCCAGGCCAGGCGGAGCTCGGAGAAAAAGGCGCCACCAGAGCTTGGTGCCCGCTGCCATCGCTGGAGGGAGACGCAGAGCCTCCCGAGCCCCAGCCCACCGGCGCCCAGGCGCCCCCTCCCGTAGGCCATCGCGCCCGCCCCCCGCCGCGAACCAAGTCCGGCTCCCGGCTGCCAGGAGATGGGCAGACGCGTAGATGGCGCGGCTCCCGGCGCCGCCAGATCGCAGGAGCCCGGCGCCGGGGCGCTGCGCTGAGGCTCCCGCTCGGCGCGGCCCAGGAAGCCTGCAGG